TAAGTATGTCATCAATAAAGACTACAACAAATTTATCAAGATAGGGCTTGAAGATTCAATTTATATAATCCATGAAGATAGCCAGGGCATTTGTTAACTTGAATGGCATCACAAGGAACTCATAGTGCCTATATCTAATCTTAAAAGCTATTTTAGGGACATCCTCTACTCTGACCCTCAATTGATGATACCCTAATCTCATATCAGTCTTAGAAAACACCACTGAATTAATTAATTGATCCAATAAATCATCAATCCGAGGCAAGGGGTACTCGTTCTTGATGGTTACCTTATTCAACTATCTGTAATCAATACACAATCTAAGGCTCCCATCTTTCCTTTCCACAAATAGTATCGACAACCCTCATGGCGATACATAACTTAACCAACTTCGATGGGGACATCCTATAAGGTGCCTTACAAATAGGCCCTACATTGAGTACGAGCTCATTTGAGAACTCAACCTCCCATTCTAAAGACAAACTAGTCACTTTAGTAGGAAAGACATTAGGGAATTCTCTCACCGCTAGAATTCGATCCATAACTTCTTCAATCTCTACCTTGATTGAGAAGAAAACCATAAAAGCTTGACAACCTTTTTTTATACTCTATTTTACTTAAGCTGCAGACAATAATATAGGACCTTGGGACTCAACAGGGGTTACAATAAGAGCTAAGAGTAACACATTCTTTTTCTAACAACCAAGTATAGCTCCATTTACAAACAACCTATCCATCCTCACAATAACCTCAATCCTAGACAAAGACAAACAAATGAGGTCTATGGTGGTCTTTTGACCCTTATACTCAACCTCTACATTTAGACATGCCTTAGTAATTCTTACATTCAAACTAATAGGAGTAAAACTTTTCACATCAAAAGGTAAAGTATACACAGGCAATTTACATCTTTTCATACATTCATCAGACACAAAGGAGTGCCTAGCACCAGAATCAAACAAAGCATAAACCTCATTATCAAGGATTCAAATTATACCTGAATCAAACATGTTTTTCTAAGCCATTCCAAATTCACAAATATAGTGTTTTGGTCTTTTGAGGAAGAAGATGGATAATGACGCCTAAAAATTTTTTGCAAGTGTTCTTAGGATCGATACATGACTACCTTCTTATCAATGGGAAGTCCAATCAAATAAAAAATATCATTTAATCTTAAATATAACATATGGTCCCTTATAAGAAAAAAAATTCCATTGTTAAAATAGGCTCTATAAAAAATAAAGAGTAAAAGAGTAAATTAGCCTCTAAACTATTAGCCTAGTTTAGGATCCTAAATTCATTTTTTGTACAATGTTTTCCTTCAACCTTTAAAAATAATGTTATTTGGCCCTACTGATAGGGATTTAGTCGCTTATCCTTAAAATTAAACTAGAGCTAACCCTAATGCAATATAAGGTCAACTCTAGGTCATCTCCCAAGAAATGATTTTAGGTCTAATTTAAAAGTTATCTAGTAAAATAAATCACCCAAAATTTAAAGTTGATTAACTAATTGCTAACCTAATTATTTAGTGAATTAAGCTAGAAAACTAATCCTAATTTTGAAAGAAGTGACTTCTCAATTTAAGTAGGAACCCTAAGGTGTTATTAATGGAAGATTCTTAGCCTTTAATTAATTATGACAGCTTACTCAACTCCTCTTCCTTGGCTGAAAAATGAATTTACTTAAGACAACTATCTCAAGTATCCTAGCTTCACTAATTCAATTTTCTAAGTGCTATTACAAGCCCCTTAGATAACCTTACTAGCTTAGCTCTAAAATTAACCAAGTGTTTAGCTAAAATTTATTCCCAAATGCCACTGTCCAAAGCTGTACCTAAGTTTAAAACTATGAAAACTCAAGCAACTCATCAAGTATTAACCACACAATTACATGCTAAACTAATACAAGACATTCACCCATTGAAATCACATATTATCATGCAAATTCATAGAGTGAACAAAATTTCAGCAGCACATAGATTATGAAATTCAACTCAACAATCTTGTTTCAACATTACAAATTACAAACAACCATGTAACTAAAGTCAAATTGAACCACAATCAACAATAGTCATAGTATTCTAATGGAATTCAAACAAGATGAAGAAATAATTGAGCTTAGCCAAGTGAAGACTTCAAAACTCCTTCCATCAACTCTCCCCTAAGATTCCATGGAGACTCTAGCTAGAAAACATTTGCTTCCTCCATGAACACAACTAGGCCATGGCACATGCTTCATGCTTCTTGATGGATTGAGCTTCAAATCTCCTTCTAGTTGCTTGAGGTTGGTTCGGCCTTGAGAGAGGAGAAGAATGGTGGAAGAATTGAGTGGATTTTATGGTGAAAAGAGGGAGAAATGGTAGCTGGACGAGCTGTATTTTGGAGAGAAGGAGGAGAAAATGAAGAACACCAAGAACAAGAGAGAGAAAATGTAGAAGATGAATGAAATGAGTGTTGGATTTCAATTGGGGCTGAATGGATGTGCTCCCAAGTGTTTCCTATTAGCTGGAGCTTAATTAAAAAAAGGAAAAGAAATTAAAATGGAAATGGGAGCCTTGTCACACTTGCAAGGTAGCAACCTCCTATTGGTTGGTAGATGATTCCAATGTGTGTGTAATTTCTCATTTGTCATCCACATTTTCAAGCTGATTTAATCCCAAAATAAAGCCTAATTCCCATGCAAACCATCAACTTTGACCTCAAGGAGTGTTGATTTCAATTGCCCAATTGATACACAAGTCACATGCCACCTATGTCACATAAATCACATAATTCAATTAAATAGCATGTGATATAATAAAATATAATTAATGTCTAAAATTAAATTCATAATTAGAAGGGATAATTAATTAAAATAACTAAGTTTTAAGCTACACAAAATTATATAAAAATTTTCACACAAAGGCGAACCAAAAACTAGGTCAAACTAAGATACTTAAAAAAGTGTTGACTTTTTATTTAGTTACTCCCAAACTAAAATAAATTTTAAAAATATAATTTCACCACTCATCAACTAGAGATAAATGAACTTTGTCAATTTTTCTTGCATATTTTCTCAAAAGTTCATTTTTTGAACCAAAATACCCCTAATGCATTAAACCTAGAAACTTAGGCAAAATTTCAAATCTAAGGCAATGAGTACACTTGAGGTAATAAATTATTAATAAAAAGGTCCTAATTGACAAATAAAAGTGAGTAACAAATGTGTTCTATCACCTACCATGAGGTTAGCGTGAACAATGCAATGTTGAGTACTCACTATACCACTCTCCCTCAACTAGGTGCACTATCAACCTTGAGGTTAGTGTGAAAAGTTATCACCCTATAAAAGGCAACGACTGTGTAACTAGGAGGCTTCTCTTCAACTCCTTCAACATTTGACACAAATCAACTTGCCCCAAGCCAACTTAAGCAAATTGACCCATTGTCATGCCTAATCTCACCTAGCACAACCTTCAACCTTAGTCTAGACTTTCTAGGCTTATTACTTTGCTTTTCCCTTTAATCATCGAAGCACCTCATTGTAATTTCTTTCTAATTATATAATATCGTCTTGCATGCATTCTTACATACCTTAATATCGAAATTCATTTTGGCACTCTAAAAAAAATTGTGGTAAAGAACCTTGAAATACTCACAATCAATTGATCATTAAATCTTTTGAGGATTTAATTACTCCTTAGGCACGCCTAGCAATTTCAAAGGAGCACAATGCTCCGCACTTGATACCCAAACTAATGCTAATACAAACTCTTATTATTAATATTATTAATGCATTAAAGTCCATTTATCATGATTTAATTAAATAAAAATATATTAAGTATATAAGTCTAAGTAACTAATAAGTTTTATCCCTTTAGATATTCATAATTAGTTTTTCCATTTGTTTATTGACCAATCAATCTCTCTCCCTTTTTTTCCTTTTTACTCATTAATTAATGCATGCAATGAACATAAGGCATACATTTTCTTTTATGATTTTCTATATAAAAATTGTGAACGTTCATCTTTCAGATAATATCATCACATTTTTACCAACTTAACATTGTGGCCAAAAAGACTATTACCAAACTAGCATATAATGTATTTTAATTTTTATACATTGTAAATATAAGTTTTTTCATATTAAATTAGAAAAATAATTTGATCTATTTCCAGAAGTGTTCATGAATACTTTATTTCATTGATCATGAATATTTAATTTTAACGTTTTTTAATGTTTTATTTTTTAATGGATAAAAATCTCATATACAAACTTAATCTAGGTATCTATATATGAAATCTATATATTTATATCCATATACAATACAAAATTTATAAAGAGTAAGTTAAATATATATAATTCTTTTTGTGAAAAGTTTTAGTTTTTACTTTTTAGAACTATGTTTTTATATGATGACTATTTAATTAGGTCAAATTCAAGCATAATTAAGAGTATATCTCCCAAGGACATTTTATGTATTCACACATATTCGAATTTGAAACCTTGTACTTAAGCATAGCTTATTCCACTAAGACTACACATGTTAATACTTTTAGAACTGTATATATCATAGTAAATAACAATTATAGAAATTTTAATTAAAAATAAATTTTCATCTCTTTGATGTCTTAAGTTATTATAAAATTACGTGAATGATAAGAATTTTCGTCTTTCTTAAACAAGTAATTACACATTTAATTTTCAAAACTTTTATATATTGAGAAAACCTAGTAAAAAAAATATTTACTCAACTTTATCCTTTGCATATAAAAAATGAAATTAGCCTTTCCTACTAAGGGGTTGATTAGTCCATCTCCTTTCTCCATTTCAACAAAAATCTCTGAACCCTTTCTTTCAATTCCAACATTCCCTTCATATGGACTCTCTATTAGTGCCTATAAATTGGCATGTTCCCTACTGCCTCCATTGTCATTAGAATTAAACCCACCACTTCAAACCACTCTATCTCTCTCTCTCTCTCATAGTTGTTTTATCATTAACTGTGATCAGTGGTGATGGCTGAGACCTCTACAAATAAAGAAACCCATGATGTGGTTGTTCTCAATGTCAATGGTGCAAAATCTAATGCAGGCTCCAACATCTTTGTCTCTGTCCCTTTCTTACAGAAGGTCCATGCCCTACACCTTCTCTCTCTCTCTCTGTCTCTCCCCTTTCCTGTCTCAAATGGATTGGTTTCGATGGAAGGAAAAGTGAAAAGAAAATATAACTAGAGGAAGAAAAACTACAAGGAGAAATTTTCAAAAGCAATACGTTTTTTTTATTATTCTCTGCATCCAAATGAAGAGTTAAATCCACCAAACTGCTACTTCTAATATGATTTTGGATTTGATTATATCTATATTGTTATTGTTGTTAAGGAGAAATTGAAGCTGTATAGTCAAATATAAAGGAGAAAAAACAACGAAGGGAAATTTTCGAAGAGTTTTCTCTTCTAATTTTCCTTCATTCTTAGTTTTCTTCCCATCTAAACTATTATATCTAATATGATTTTGGACTTGATTATATATACTGTTATTTTTGTTGTTGAGGAGAAATTGAAGGTGTGTTGTTAATTGATTACTTACAGTTGGTGGCAGAGTTAGTGGGGACATACTTTCTGATATTTATCGGAGGAGCATCAGTAATTGTGAATGCGAACAACGAGAACATGGTAACGCTGCCAGGGATTTGCATGGTTTGGGGTCTTCTCGTGATGGGTCTAGTCTACACTGTTGGTCACATCTCTGGTGCCCATTTCAATCCTGCTGTCACTCTCGCTTTTGCTTCCATTAAACGATTTCCTCTCAAACAGGTCAACCACCACCTTAATTACCTTATAGTGTGTTAGGATTGGTAAATTTAGATTTCAAATTCATGTATTTTAACTTCTTCATTTGAGTAATTTAAATAACAAAGGTTATTATTATTAATTAGGTAGTGTTTCGATATTGCACATGGAGATTTGAAATAACGAAGGGTTTAAAAATAATTTCAAATTATAAAGGAATTAAGATAAAATTTAAATTTGGATAAAATCTAAATTCATACATTTTTAAATGTCCAAATAAAAATTTGATCTAAATTCAAATTCAAATCCATATGTATCCAAAGATAGTATAAATTTATTGGATTGATTTCCTTCATGTAACAAAATCTGATTCAGAAAAAAGATCGGATGTGATGAGGATTATTGGGGAAGCTAGGATGCTGCGAATATAAGAAACGGATTAAACAGTTGGATATTAAAGAAAAGTAAATTAAAAATAAGAGATAAAGCATAAAATTTTAAAAAAAAAATCAAACAAACCCTCAATTTCTCGTTTCCCTTATCAAAAAAAAATATAATAGAGACATAATGAAAAATTTTAAGTCAAGATGATAAGTAAAAATAATCTTAATAAATTATAGACATTTGAGTCAAAATTAAATTTCAACATGTTCATTTTAATTAATTCATTTTTCATTTTGTTGTTTCAGGTACCAGCTTATATATTAATCCAAGTTGTAGGATCCACTCTTGCAAGTGTGACTCTAAGACTTGTTTTCACAGGAAAACATGACCACTTCATAGGAACATTGTTGTCTGGCTCATATCTTCAGGGCTTTGTGGTTGAATTCCTCGTCACTTTCTATCTTATGTTTGTCATCTCTGGTGTGGCCACTGATAGCAGAGCGGTACTTTCATCTTTCTTTTATTTGTTATCTTTATTTAGGGATGCTTGATTATATTAATGGTGTTGGCAAATCATGTTGCATATATATATATATATATATATGTTTTTTCAGTGTAATAACAAAAAAATTAGATTTTAGAGTTAAGGGTCATTTTTGCTCTCGAACTTTTCACACCGGGTCTGTGGGTATATTGAACTCAATTTTGGGTCATTTTTCCCCTTAAACATTAAAAAACTTATCTGTTTCTACCTTACTATTAACATACCCATTAACCAACTTTTTGTTTTTAAAAAAAATGTACACATGGTTTCCACAATAGATGCCTAGCTAATTAAAGGTTATTTTTGCTCTCGAAATATTTACTTAGTGATACTTGGTATTTTGAACTTCCTTTTAGGCCATTTCTTTCCTTAAATGTTAAAAAAACCTAACCATGTGTGTACTGCCAAATTAACGGAAAAATTGCATTTAAGTTAGAGATTCCCACGAGTGAATACATGTGGCATTCAAGCAGATGTCTAGTCAAAAATTAAACATTTAAGGGGAAAATGATCCAAAATAGAGTTAAGAACACCTACAGACCTGACGTAAAAAGTTCAAGAGTAAAAATGGCCCTTATTCCTGTATTATATATAAATTAAAGAGTCACAGCTTTTGAACAATTCAACTTGTTATGGTTTTTATATTTTGAATTGAAATTGTAAGGAAATGTTATAGTTGTGTTTACAATTTAATTTTGTGTTTGAATTATTTAGGGAAATGCTTGAAGGTAACACAAGAAGCTTATATATCAAAATTAATCATATTTTAATAGGGTTAAATAGTAATTTTACTCTTAAACTATAGATTTAGAAGCATGTATGACTCTAAACTCATTTTTGTATAATGTTTCCTTTCAATATTTAAAAACCATATAATGTCATTCCTGCCGATAACAAAAATTAACTTTAATGATTAGTACAGTTGATCAAAAAATTATAGAAAAGAATCTCATTCTGTAATTTTTTTAGGTCTATTTCTGTAATTTTCTAATAAATTAATTATCAAAGCTAACTTTTGTTAATAGTAAGGGTAATATTGTGCTGTTTTTAAATGTTAAAGGAGAACATTATAACATAAATAAATTTAGGATTCTAGATGACACTCCCTAACTTAGCTTAAGGATAAAATTTCTCATTAGCCCTTTTTAATATTCTAAAGGATTTTTATATATGTTTATATGTGTTTTTCATTTTCGCAGATTGATGAGCTAGCTGGGCTTGTCGTAGGGGCAACCGTGATGATTAACTCGTTAACAGCAGGGTATTATAAACCTTAACACTAACAAAATTGAGAGCTCAATATTCAACCTAACAAATTCTTAGCCTATAAGTAAACTTCAGATGTTGGGAAAGATTTATTTGACTTTTTCATTAAATTAAAATTTAAAGAACAATTATGAGCAGACTAAATACAATAACAGTATTACTCTCATAATATTAAGTTTATAATTTTGGAAGGTACACATCTTATTATAAAAAAAATGGTTATAGATAATATTTTGACCAAACTTATTATTTCTTGAACTTCCCTTTTCATTAGAAATTTATAAATAACATGTAAGTGATGACTTGACATTATTTTTTGATCTCAAATAAATTCTTACTGCATTTCTAGCTCTCTGTAAAAGTAGCATGTATAATCCAATAGTTGAAATTGCTCTTTCCATTATTCTTTGACCTAGTGTGTATGATATTGATCATGTTAGTATTTGTATGACAGGCTGGTGACCGGAGCATCAATGAACCCAGCGAGAACCCTAGGGCCGGCAATCGCATGGCATGAGTATAGAGGAATATGGGTGTATATGATAGCACCAGTGGCAGGAGCGGTAGTGGGTGCATGGGTTTATAACATCATGAGGCATACAAACAAGTCATCAATACATGAGATCACAAAAAGTACTTCTTTTCTCAAAGGTTCAAGCTCCAGTAGTTGTGGAGCCAAGTGATATTATGTTTTTGTGTGGTTAAATAATAATATAGCTCTCTATAATTACTATCTATCTTTTGTTGTGTTTGATTGTAATATTACTATAGTTTCAAAGTGAGAAGGAAATAAAGATGAGTTTCATATGGTACTTTATAATTAGGAAACATTTTATGGAATCTTATCCTTCTTGATATATGTATGCAAAAAAAAATGATAATATTTACATAAGTTTATATATCAAGATGAAGGTAAAACATAATCATTGGTCTCTAAAGTTTTATTGGATTTTGCTTTTAGTTCTTATAGTTTTTTTTAATATTGTTAGTCTTTAATGATAGGGACTAAAAGCACTAAAAAAAACTGAAATTATAGGGATCTAAAAAAACAAATTTCACCCAATATTTTTGAAACTATAAGGACTAAAAGTACTAGAAAAAAACTACAAGAATTAAAAGTTAAGCTTGATAAAACTATACAGATTGATGATTATGTTTTCCTCGTGATAAATAACTTATACATCATCATGTACTTTATAAGTTTTCCATTTAAAATTGTATAGAATATTCTAGTACAATGCATATTATGATTGCGAAAAAATGTTATCCTATTTATGATGAGATTTGATTTAGAGTTTCTTTTTGTAATAGGAGGATTCTTATAGTCTAATTATTGTCCACCTAGAAACAGTCTCTAGAAGATTTTATATTTTGAATAGATATAATATTTCCTATTTTAATTAGGAGAGAAGCTTATCCTAATTTGGCTAAGAGAATATTATCCTATTTATAGTAGGATAATATAATGTTTCTTCTAAAGGGATGAACTTTTTTGTATTAATATGTTTAGCATGAATTTAATATTATATTTAATTTAAATTAAATTAGGAATTTTCTTTGAAACCTAATGGCATCCCAAGAAAATTTCTTGTATGTATCCAATGTATCATGTGACCCATGCTTTATCTAATACATAAAATTTTATTTAAGTGAATAAGTGAGAAATTCTTGCATGAATCCAGTACACCATATCATCCATATTTTGTCCAATACAAACATGTCATGTTAGGAAAACTTCTTGCATGTACCTGAGGCAGCACGTTATTCATGCTCTATCCAATACAAACATGCCATGTTGTACTAATTTAATCAAATAAAATTTAATGTGTCATTATTCTTAAGGAACATCACTCCTAGCTAGGTCCCTCAGGGATTTGAATTACTACCACATAAATACACAAACTACTCTTAAGTCCTAAATTTATAATTTTAAATATATGTTAACTTATTAAAATATGTTTGTTTACCTTATTTAAAAAAAAATCATCCACTGATCGTTGGAATAATTTTGGAAAGGGTGGTCTTGGGAGATTAGAACCCCAAGACCACATGGTTTCCTGAAAAGTATAATAATCATCAAGCCACATACACTAATTAATATAAAAGTACAAAATATTACACACACACGCACACACAAACATTATAACTTGTGTCAAGAATAGAAGTGTCAACTTAAGCAAGGGTATTGAGAACTTGGGATAAGAAAATGACAATTTGGACATGGGAAAATAAAAACTTGAATACTGGAAAATGATAACTTGAAAATATGAAAATGACAACATGGCATAGGAAAATGACAACTAAACATAGGCAAATGACAATTGGGCATAGAAAAATGACAAGTAGGCATAGGAAAAAATGACAACTGGGCATAGGCAAATGGCAACTGGGCATAGGTAAATGGCAAGTAGGTATAGTTAAATGACAACTAAGACATGGGTAAATAACAACTTGGGTATATAAAAATGACAATTAAGGCATAGAAAAATGACAACTTCAGCATAGGAAAACACCAACTTGAACATTGGAAAATGACAGCTTGAGAATATGAAAATGACAATTGGGTAGGAAAATGATAACTACGCATAGAAAAATGGCAAGTGGGTATAGCAGAATGACAACTGGGTATAGGAAAATGACAATTAGATATTGACAAATAACAATTAGGGCATTAAAAAATGACAACTTAGGCATGAAAAATTGACATGTTAGGCATAGCAAATGATAACTTGGGCATCAAAAAATGACAAATTGAGCATGAAAAAATGACAATTCATTTGTCAATGCCTAGTTGTCATTTTCATACACCAATTGTCATTTTCCTATGCCCACTTGTCATTTTCCTGTGCTTGTTAAATAAGCTGGTCACCCAAGAAGGGTGAATGGAGTGGTGTCTAAATTTTTGAAATCTTTTTTCTAAATGAAAAATAGAGTTTTGTATTAAAAAAGGTTTAAATAATTAATGAGCTTTTTAAAACAAATGAGGTTTAGAGGAGAAGAAGCTTGACAAAAAAGATTTATAGGTTTACCCTAACCACTTGGCCTACATCTAGTCCTCAAGATCACATTTAAGAGTTGTTAATAAAATCTCAAGCTTCAAAAGGTGATTGCTACCACAATACAAACACAAGATTTTACAAGTATTGATTTCACTTTACAAACATTTATAGACCTTGTAAGCCGCTAAACACTTAGTGAAAACATTCTCTAAGATTTTGAATAAAGAATAAGCTTTCTAAAATATAAACTCTCAAAAGAGTATATACAATGAAAGCTTTTAAACAAGTAAAACAAAGAGCTTTTTGCAAATAATGAATGAAATAAGTAAAACAATAAATGCAATTAGTTAATCTCTTACCCACTCACTTAAATGAAATTCTATATATAATGTGAGGATTATTTTAATCGTTAAAGACCTCAGCTAGCCATTTAAAGCTGTTGCATTGCATGTATAAGAATAGAAACTGATTAAAAGTACTTTTTCTACAAAAATAGATTAAATGCTTTTCAAAACACAAAAACTTGCATCGATTAGTAGTCCCTGGCAAGGATGAGTAGCTCAGAAACTCTCAAGAAAGGTTTAGACTAGAACATGAATGAAGGCATTTGAAACAATGCGAGGATGAATTAGGAAAAAGCACAACCTTCTGTAAAACTCCAAAACTCACGTGAGTACAATCAAGATCTATGTGAAGAATAGGTTCTACAAATGAAAGACCTCTAACACATTTAAAAATGTGTGGGTGACATCTAGGCCTCATGAGTGTGGTTAAGATAAGTTTTAAAACACTTAGAATAGATTGAAACAACTCGAGGACTCAAGTTGCAAACAACAACTCAAAACTCATAAGGGTGTGAATGTAACATTCTAGATTTTATTTTAAGGATTTAAATGAGAAGTAATATTAATTTGAGGTTTATTGAGGTTGATTAATTATTTAGACACTTATTTATGATCAAAATTAGGCCTAGGTTCTATTTGGAGTCTAGAATAGACTTTTAGACTAGATTAGACCTAATAGTTTGGGCTTAAATGAAAAGCCCCATTTCTGTACCATGCGATGCATGGCATGAAATTTTGATTATTTATTCCATTTGAAAACAAAACAAAAGGAGGAGAGTTTGGTGAGGGTTTGGATAAAATTTTAGTGATCCACTAGGTTTGTGTAATGACCTCCATTATTAACCAACCATAAATTTGAAATAATTAAACCAATCAACAAACTAAAGAACAACCTTGATCACTAAGGATTACTTAAAGAAATTGATTTTAAAAATATTTGGAATAATTAGGATCTAAAAATCAATTAAGAAATGAACCATCAATTATAAACCCTTGAAAACCACTTAAAAGTATATAGCATCATCCACTATGACAAATGGCTCAAAATAGGCAGCATCACTTAAGCTCAAACCACATGAGGGTCATGTCATGTACCATTTATACCATTCTCCTTATTCAATTATTGTTGAATATAGAAGTGGGGTCTCAAGCTTGGAATTTTTTTATGTATATCTCATTATTAGTGGCAGTGCCAAGACCTTTAGCTATGAGGTGCAATATTTTTTAAATTATTAATTTAAAAATAATTAAAAAAATTTAGAACCCAAAATCTTTAAAATGGGGCTAAGAGGTGCAAAATATTGGAATATATAGACCTTTCTTATAATTTTCTCCAATCTACAGAAGCGATTTATCTATTAAGGAATTAATGGAAAAGTATCGTTGTAAAAATAAAGATTTACACATGGTTTTTATTGATTTGGAAAAAGCTTCTGACCGTATACCAAGAGAAGTGCTTTGGAAAGCGTTAGAAAAAAAGGGAGTACGGATTGCTTATATTAAAGCCATACAAGATATGTATGAAGGGGTAAAAACTAGTATAAGAACGCCTAGTAGTCAAACAAAGGATTTTCCTATAAAGATTGGACTTCATCAGGGATCATCTCTAAGTCCTTATCTGTTCAACTTGATCCTACATGTTTTGACGAAACATATTCAAGGAGAAATTCTCAAATGTATGCTCTTTGCGGATGATATAGTTCTTATAGCAAAGACAAGAGAAGAGGTTAATTGCAAACTTGAGTTATGGAGGAGGACATTGAGTTGAAAGGTTTCCGTCTGAGTAGGAGTAAGACGGAATATTTATATTGTAAATTTGGTAAGAGACTATTTCACAATAATTTGGAAGTGAAATTGGGAGAATCAAATTATACCTCAAGTGGAAAAGTTTAGATATTTAGGAGCTATTATTCAAAATGATGGCGAAATTAGTGGAGATATTTCACATAGGATTCAAGCTGGGTGGTTTAATTGGAGAAAAGCTAAAGGAGTTATTGTGACCGTAAGGTGCCTAATAAACTTAAAGGAAAGTTTTATCACACTGCTATCAGACCGGTAATGTTATATAGTAGTGAATGCTGGGCTCTAACGGGACAACAAGAGCATAAAGTTGGAGTAGCAGAGATAAGAATGTTATGATGGATGTGCAGACATACACGTAAAGATAAAATTCGAAATGAGCACATACGCGAAAAAGTGAGGGTAGCACCTATTGAGGAAAAAATGGTAGAAAATCAGATGAGATGGTTTGGGCATGTACAAAGAAGACCAAGGGAGGCACCAGTGAGAAGAGTAGAACATATAACTTTGAGTCTGATTAAGAGGGGTAGAGGAAGGCCT